CGTTTCCCAAAGGAGTTCTTTTACCGAATTATACCCCTTGGGATGCCGGTTTTCCAGTTCATACCCATAAAGTAACTATGTACACAACGTGTTTGTGCCGTTGGGACAATTCGTTTTCTGGCGACAAATTTCAAAGCGCATATGATCCAGTACTTGTTGTGTAATATTAACTCTATAGAACTGAACTTCAATGTATTTAAGGCCCGTTTGATGGTTGCGTCACTTTGGGGATTTTTAGAGTAAGTTATGTCGGACGTTGATTTTCATAAGAAGGACTAAATAAGCAGAGCACAATTTTCAGCAAACTTCAGTACGCTGGGCTTGAGCTTAGCAGGTTACTAACTCCGATTTATTAACCAGGCAGCCGTCTAGGTTTACAGCACAGCTTATCGTGCTGCACATAAGGGATCAGAGGAAGTCGCTATACTTTTATTTCTAGCATATTATTTGAAGTAAAGAACAGCGTACCAGTTGAATAGCTGCGGCCCCTGAGCTATCATAAAATGCACCACTTAAATGGGTACTATAATTAAGAAAATATTGTTTCTCATATTATCATTGGAGAAACCATTCTGTTACTCGCAGTATTTCACCGTCTTAATTGAGAGTCCACCTTCACCAACCTTTTCTGTGTTACCTCTACCTGCTTGGTTCTCATGACAGCCATTAAATGTAGGCGGTCCTGTTAGTCTGATTAGAGAAGACCTTCGGGTGAAGGGCAGCCCCATCTATGCGCATTTCAGGCAGTGAGCAAGGAAATTTGTTTCGATTGAGGAGCTTCTGCTCGGTTAACAAGTTGTCAGTGCGTGGGCGTGCCTGAGTCCGCTGTTGAGTCTTGCGCCCAGGGCATGAGTCCTTGGTCGCCGTTAACCAAGGCTTCACTCTAGATGCCTTTCAATACTCTAGTTTACTGACAAAAATATAACTTTGTACTTTGCCCTGTCTATTGATCCGCGGTCCGAGTAAAAAGGACACTGTTCTTGGAAATAAGCAGTAAATCATCGGGGGAAAGGCTTTTACCTCCATTGTTGACAGAACGTAGACCTCGTCAGACAGCTTTTGTCTCAGCTGCTCCAAATTGACTCGCATAAATTCGACATACGCCTTGCCCACCTCATCAGTTGGTTTCTAAACACACAGAAGAAAAGGCAGA